CGGGCCAGCCTATTGTTCAGCTGCTGATGCTGGCATGTGGGGAGAGAGGCTATGGTGATGGCTCCATCCACTACTCATGACTCAAGAGCATCACCTTGCTTCCATGGCTGCACGGCTTTCCCCCATAGGCATTTCCCACCACAATCTCCTCCCCCACATCCCTTCAAATCTGTCTCTCCACAGTCAACAGCAGCTGCCGCCCTGGAATTGCTCCACAACCCCTAAACTCCAGCTCCCGGCTGCTGTGCCTTCCAGGGGACCCACGTCCCTGTCCGGGATATGTATGGCTGTGGCAAGGACTGTCTGATTCTCATTCCATTTATGCTGCTACAGATCAGCTGTTTCACTCTCAGCCATAAGTGTTTCTCCTCTGACTCAGACAACTGCCCCAATGTGGGGATCAGACTCCTGCTTCAGTTCCCCCACCAGCAGAGGGCAGGTCCAGTCCCACTAACACTTGTTTTTCCCCCTAGTTCCTTCATCCTACCGAGTTTTGCGTGGTTCTATATATTCTTTTCCTCTGGTCAGGCCCTCTTGTTGCTCCCAGCTGGTATTCTGCATGCACTTCTGTGTCTGAAGGTGTATTCCTGATCTATCTGTGGAGACAGATGTACTCCACGTCCACCTACTCCTCTGCCATCTTGTTCTCTTCACAGTGCCTTTTATAGACCTGACTGTTAAATGTTTCTTCCATTTCATCAATTTTAGGGAATGCTCACCCTTTACCACCCACAGAAAGAATACTTCTACTATCTTTTACAAAAGTAATGATGACCCGATAAATTTATCTCACTCAAATCTAAGTAACTCTAAAAAGTCATTATTGAGACTTTCCTGGTAACCTAGTGGCTAAGACTCCGAGCTCCCAATGCAGGGGGCCTGGGTTCAATCCCTGGTCAAGGAACTACAATAGATTTCACATGCCGCAATGAAGAACCAGTGCAGCCAAATAAATAAACAGCAAGCCATTATTTGTCAGTTATAATAACAAGACAATCAGTCTTAGGTACCATTATCAGTTGAACTGTGCCACCCAAAGAGACATGTTAAAGTGCTAATCCCCAGTACCTCAGATTATAACCTTTGGAAATAGGGTCACTGAAGATTTAATTTGTTAAAATAAGGTCATACTGGAGTAGGGTGGGCCCTTAACCCAATTTGACTGGTGTCCTCCTGAGAAAAGAAGACACGCAGGTGAACACCATGTGAAACCGGAGGCAGAGTGAGCTATGCTGCTGCAAGCCACTGAACACTAAACAAGGATCCTCCCTAGAGGCCACAGAAGGAGCGGCCCCGCCAACACCTTGATTTAAGGTTTCTGACTTCCTAAACTGTGACATAATTAAATTTATGTTGTTTTAAACCACCCAGTTTATGGTATTTAGTGATGGTAGCCCTAGGAAATGATTATGAAAGTGAAAGTGTTAGTTGCTCAATCCTGTTCAACTCTTTGCCACCCCATGGACTGCAGTCAGCCAGGGTCCTCTGTCCATGGAATTCTCCATGGAAGAACACTGGAGTGGGAAGCCATTACCTTCTCCAGAGAATTGAACCCAAGTCTCCTGCATTGCAGGCAGATTCTTAACCTTCTGAGCCACCAGGGAAGCCCAGGAAATGATTGCATGTACCCTTCATAGCAAAACCGTATCATAACTAGAACAGGCTTTAAAAAAAAATAAATGCACATTATTTGCAGATATTATTTTGACCAAAGTAATTTTAGTGGTGATCTACAGATAGTTCCTGAATATTCCAGGTAAGAATTTTTAAAGAGTCCCAGGATTTCATGTTCTGTGTCTACTGGAAACTGGTATATACCACCCAAGGGAGAACTGATACTTAAACAGAGCTGTCTCTCTAAATATCATATGATATCACTTGTATGTGGAATTTTTTAAAAAATGATACAAACGAACTTATTTACAAAACAGAAATAGACTTACAGACATAGAAAACAAACTTATGGCTAGCAAAGGGGAAGGATAGGGGGGATAAATTTGGAATTTGAGGTTAACAGATACACACTACTATATATAAAATAGATAAAACAACAAGAACCTACAGTATAGCACCGGGAATTACAGTAAATATCTTGCAATAATCCACAATGGAAAAGAATCGGAAAACAAAGGCATATATATAACTATAACTGAATCACTTTGCTGTACATCTGTAATACTGTAAATCAACTATACTTCAGTAGAAAAATTAAAACAAAAAAGGCTTTATCACTTATTATGGGTCATATGCCAAGAATGAGATGGTTCACATGAAACCACTTTAAAATGGAATTCTATAATTCCTTATACACCAGAATATATTCATGGACTAGGACAATGATGCTGTAAAATTTCATTTACTCCCTCTGATGATCCACATCTTAAACAGCCACAGTTTTGTATACAGGTCAAATCCCCATATTTACTTTAATGTTGTTTATGTCAATATAAAGAAAATCTTAATAATAATTTTTTTACTGCCTTGCCATTGACTATTTGAGACTTTAACACTTCTTTAAATAAAAAAGTTACATGCTGAATAACAACAGTATTTATTTTAACTAACTTCTCAGAACTATAAAATATGTTACTTTTTCAACAGGTTCAAAAATACCTTTTAGAAAAACTTACTAACCTGGTCAAAAATTATTACAAATCTGTTATGATCTTTTTATTAGACAACAAATCTGTTTTAGGATCTTAAAAAGATCACTCAAAACAGAGCCGAGGTACAAACTGAGAACAAAAGAACTGTGTTGAGGCTCCTGTTCAGACTATATTTGATCACTTGATTAAATTTTTAATGTCAAGAGGTTTGCTCTTTCTATAAAAACTAGTACTGCAACCTGGTGTTCAGGTACCTTACCCACCAAATTATGTGTCATGGAGCTTCTTATACACAGATAATTATCATTTGTAAGGATATCAGCTACAGCCTTCTACAACTAAAGAACTTCAATTCTGCATTAAAATTAAGAAAGGAAATTGGTTTATTAAAGCACAACTTTAGAATATATTATTAAAATACCTAAAATTAATAGATATCAGCCAGGGGACTTTCCTGGTGGTCCAGTGGTTAAGACTCAGCACTTTCACTGCCGAGGTTCAGTTCTTAGTCAGGGAACTAAGATCCCACAAGCTGTGCAGTGTGGCCAAAAAACAAACAAGCAAATAAAAAAAGGTATCAGCCAGAAACAGCTTCCCAAGAGGAGAGATGGATAGTCTGCAATTTATATTACTTAAAATCATAAAAAAAAAATACTATTTACTTTGGAGAAATTTCTCTGGTTAGGGATCTCATGCAGATAATACCAAATTCACTGGTCCGATGGCTCTATGGCAAAGTCATCCTTTTCTACTCTTAACTATATATGATTTCCAGAACCTTCTGGGCAACAGGCTGTTTATAGAGTAAAAAGATAAATATTTGCTACTATCAGCAAAAACTACAATCACGTCTTAAAAGTAATTACACTTTATATCTCTAAACAAATCCACTAACCACTAGGTTTAAGTCTTTCGACGTTTTAAAAACTGCCATCTGAGGAGTAACCTTGTCATGGACTAGGAGGAGTCATTACCACATCTGGGACTCAGTGCGAGCATTAAGCGACTTCGGCCAATCGTGAGGGATGTTTCTCTTCCGTCCCATTCTGACAAAACTGGATGGACAGCCACTTCCAGGGCACTTTGCTCATCACGGTCAGGGTGCTGAGGAACAGACATCATGCCTCTATGCAGCAGCGGTTTGTCCTGCCCTAGTGCACCTCTGTTAACCTGAGCCACCAGCTGAGCATAGAGAGCTCAGCGTGGATACCACATGTATCACTCATAAAGCACAGCCTATCATCCAGACTACTCTCCACAAAGTTTGTCTGTTTGTTTTAGTTTGGCCATGCCTCATGGGCAGCTTGCAGGATCTTCGTTCCCCAACCAGGGATCAAACCTGGGCTCTGACAGTGAAAGCACTGAGTCCTCACCACAAGACTGCCAAGGAATTCCCATTAACAAAATATTATTAATAATATCAGTGTCTGTACTTTTCTTTCAGACAAATTTGTTACTTATGTTTCATTGGTATTCAAAAGTAGTTCTATCCTCTCCAATCAATGCCCAAAACGTTATTTAACAAAAAAAAAAAAAGGTAGGATAGGCAGTCTATGGAACCCCTGAATCTACAGTAAACTACAGATCAGAAGTGTGAGAGCCCATAATTAAAAATACAATGTGCCACCCACCGCAATCCAGTCTCAAACAGAAATGATCAAAATAAGTAAGACACATCAAAAGGTATCACAACTTTTAAGATTTCTTTTTTAAAGTCCTGAGCTGATATTAGCTATTTATGCAGTTGGAATTTTAGGATTTTAAATGTTAATTCCCTCCTTTGAGTAAATGAATGCTTTAAACCAAAGTTATAATAAAGTGAAGGAGGGCTCAAGATTCCAAGTTGCTGACAGGCACAGGCAGAGGGGCTGCTCACCAGCCTCATTGCTGACTCAGTGCTCCCCTTCAAGAAGGTGACTATCTCTGCTGACTGAATACTCTCCCCTTAAAGAGTCCCAGGAACATGTCCTGTACATTCTTCCAAGGCTTTGTTTTATACCAAACTCAGGAAATCCTTCCTTGGGTCTTTGCCTATTTCAATCTTCTGGGGACCCAGAATAAATGCTGGAAGTGGGCAGACTCCTCATGAAAATTTATTACATAATTAAAATAATATCAAGTCAAGTCTTGGCTTTTTCTTCCTTAGTTTTGGCAATTCTGATTTTTTTAAGCTTTAATATAGAATTTGTTTTTTATTCCTCTGATTATTTGCCATTTTTTCAGGACTTTATTCATTCCCTACAATTCTTTACACATGTGGAGACAAACGAAAATGGAGACACTGAATGAAAAGAAGACTACCACTACTAACATATTAATGACTACAATTACAAAAAAAGTTAAAAATCCAAACCAACTTTTCAATTCTCAACTTTATCATCACAATTCACTTACTTGATAAGGTTCTGGAAAGCATAACCATCTGTCCACTGTTCAGTAAACGAAGCCCCGTGTCGGACAGTGGTAAAGTGGCCCAGTCTCAAGCGATCTTGCATGCTTTTATCTCTACATGCCATCTTCTCTTGTTTTGACTTAGGGGAAAAGGACAAATAGAAAATAATTGTATTTTCCTATGAGAACTCAGATGCAGCACTATTATTTTTTGTACTATACTGCTCAAAGTTTAGGACAACTGGCTAAATCTACACTGATTTCAGGAAGTACCTTAAAGCTATAAACATTTTATATAACCCATAAACATTCTACATTAACATATACTAACATAGACATTTCTGTTATAAATGTGGAATTTCCCTTCTATAAAATTAATGAATTAAGAGATGAAGCAAAGTTCTCCTCAGTATTTTTGACATTACTAAAATAATTCATTTCACTTTTTATCAGTGTTCCCTGTCCCTTTAATAGCATTCCAAAGATTTCAGCAAAAAAACAAACCACTAATCTGTCTCAAACCTCTAGCTTATAATCATTTCATTAGGAAGTATTATCATCTTAAAACTTTCACTGTAAGATAAATAAGTACTGGAGGTATGTTTTACAAATTTTAAGACATTAATTATTTATATTATATAATAAATAATTATTTATTATAATAATTATAAGAAATATAATTATTAAAGGCAAATTGCAACTAATTAGTTACTATTAATATAATAAAGGAGGCATCAGCCAATTAAATAATCATATACAAGTAATTGCAAACTAGTTTTTAAAACACAAAACACTTAATTATCAATTATATACATAGTTACTCTAAATACCATGTCTGAAATGGACATAAAACTATTGCTAAATGTCTGTATTAGTAATAGGATGTGCTGTGCACTCAGTCACTCAATCGTGTCTGCCTCTGTGCAGTCCCATAGACTATTGCCCGCCAGGCTCCTATGCCCATGGAATTTTCCAGGCAAGAATACTGAAGTAGGTTGCCATTTCCTACTGGAGGGGATCTTCCCAATCCAGGGATCAAATCTCTTGAGTCTTCTGCATTGGCATTTGGCAGTTGGGGTCTTTAACACTACGGCAACCCCAGTAGCCCTTTCCTAACCCCAAAAGCCCTTTGTTGGTTTTTCATTCTTCTTACCAAAGAGACATGGATTTACATAAATGTTTCTTACCAGAGAAGCCAGGCACACCCATGCCCACATAAAACAGAGAACAAAGCTGTGGTCAGTCCTTTCCTACTTTGAAATACTTTCATTTCAGGTAAAAAGTTAATAAGTCACAACAATGGCACACCCTAAGCATCTTGGGATACAGAGTTGAGGCCACTACTAATCACTTACCTTTTCTATAAGGAGTTTCTTGCTCATTGTCACACATCGATTTAATCGTTCTTTGTATTTCTCTAACATCTTTTGCTGTTCATCAATCTGCCGTCTCAAATCACAGTTGGCCTTCAATGGAAAAAAAATTTTTTAATTAGCTCCAAGGAAGACAGATTAATTCAAAAGCAGTTTCTAGGGAGTCTGAAAAGCATTTCTTTTGTTAAATTATAAGCAAAATTGAGATTTAAAGAGGTAAGAGTAATTATGTCTTTTAAAAAAGAAGGTAAATACTTGGTTCCTTGATTTTCTTTTAATAAACTTATCACTATTAAAGATGAATTCTCTTACTTGAAGTAGGATGTTTTTCTACTGGTCATACTTTGCTGCTGCTACTGCTAAGTCACTTCAGTCGTGTCCGACTCTGTGCGACCCCATAGACGGCAGCCCACCAGGCTCCCCTGTACCTGGGATTCTCCAGGCAAGAATACTGGAGTGGGATGCCATTTCCTTCTCCAATGCATGAAAGTGAAAAATGAAAGTGAAGTCGCTCAGTCGTGTCTGACTCTTAGCGACCCCATGGACTGCAGCCTACTAGGCTCCTCCATCCATGGGATTTTCCAGGCAAGAGTCATATCTTACTCCTCCCCAAAGCCAGTTACAGATCAATCCAGTAGTACCCCACACATGCTAATACTGTCACAAAATAAAAGAAAAAATCTATCATGAAGGAGATGGTTAGAATTCATATAAATAACACTTTTAAGCATTTATAGATTAAATACTTACAAATGGTGAATAAGCACTACCAAAAAAACAACACATAATGTTCTTTATGTTCAATTGTTGCTCTTCTGTTCTTCCTTCCAAAGAAGAGACATGGATTTACATAAATGTTTCTTACCAGAGAAACCAGGCACACCCATGCCCACATAAGACAGAACTAACAAACAAGCTGAATACAAGGTCTTGGTTCAAGAAAACCAGAATGTAAATACACAGTTGATTTAGCTGTGGTCAGAAGGGTGGGCTAAATACTTTGAAAAATTCAAGACTCCTACAATAACAGAGAAGCGAAGAACCACTAACCCCAGGTCAATTTTGACTTGCAACTCCTGAGTTTACTCTTGTGTTAAACAAAAGCTATCTACTCTTTTGGCAAATAAATGATACTATAGCACACTCAATTTTTGAGACTTTGAAACTTCATTTTAAAGTGACTATTGTGCAACAGTTTCCATCTCCAAGTATCTACCTTCCTCATAATTTCTTCTTATTAGTCTTTCTAAGAGAGCTCATGAGTTCTATGGACCACATTATCAAAGGCCAAGTACAAGGACATTTGGTTAAATATGACTAATTCATACTTAAAATATCTGTAAGCCAAAGATCATGTAATGTGTATATATGAAGTTCAATCTACTTTTGGAAGGTGAACATCTCTTAAAATCTGTAATCAAATTTATGGAATCAATCAATCTCTGGCAGTTTATTTTAAATTACAAGAACTCTAAATTTTTGTGGTTTCCAACACTAATGATTTTGTGTTCAGGTTTCAAATAGCACCTGACTAGCAGCTCCTGATGCAGCCTTACCCAAACATTTAACTAAAATGGAAAAACTCAATTAATGGTCCATGCCTGTCTGAAGAGACATAAGGAGTAGTGGTCATTCCCCTGTCCCTCCAAATCAGAAACACAAGCTCTCATCAATTTGAAAAAATGGCATCTCTCCTTTGTGTTTTCTTTTTTGACATAACCATTCCATTGGCACTGTTCTAGATCCAAAGAAAGACTACAATCTTTAGAAAACAAGGGATTAGAAAGACGGGAATTGGTAAAGAGACATACCGCTTCCTGGGAAATAAAACCATTTTTTTTTTAAACCCCCCAAAAGAATCCTAAGTTAGGGTCAGTTTTTCACATACTCCATCTTCTCAATCTTGAGAAAATCAGATGATGAAGGAAGAAGACAAGCCCATGATCCTTTTTTAGTTCAGCAGAGCTACCCTGGACAAAATTTTTTTGTTTAGATTAGACAACTAGACTAGGATTTCTATGAACACACAATATCTAATTATAAACCTTGGCAATTCAACGAGCACCCAAGTGAAAAGAAGAGACGTTAAGAGCAACACCAAGCAAGTATACATACTAACAATGAAAGATGGAAAATAGGTACTGAGTCTAAACATGGCTCTTCTCACTGAAGGATGGAGAAAAGCAAACTAAGAAACAAAACCACCAGGCCTAAGAAAAATGTTTCTGAATAGGAAAGGGGACATCAGCTTGAGAACAATAAAAACACTGGAGATTAAAATGTTAGCCAATTTTATTTACACATTGGTAGTATTTACGTATAGATGCATTTATGTACATGCTACAAGGACTTCGCTGGCAGTGCAACAGTTAAGACTTCGTGCCTCCACTACATGGGAATCCCTGACTGGGGAACTGTGATCCTGTATGCTGCCTAATGTGGCCAAAAAATAGAAATAAATCAACAATTTCTTAAAAAAATTTTATATATGCTATAAATAGGTCAAAAATTACTATGGTAAATATGCCAAAGGTTTTAATCACAGTTAATGGAATTATGGGTATCATTTTATTTTTTTTTTTTACTATTCTCTAAATTTATTATAAAGAATGTATTGATTTTTACAATAAGAAAACAATAAACCTTAAAAATTTTTTTAAAAGGGTCAGTCAATATGTCAAATTGTATATTAAAAAATTATTTCAGAAAATATCATGGTATTACTGTATAGCACAAGGAACTCTACTCAGTATTCTGTGATAATCTATACAAGAAAAGAATCTAAAAAAGAATGAATATACGTATAACTGAATTATTTTGCTATACATCTGAAACATAACAATGTAAATCAACTATACTCCAATAAAATTAAAATTAAAAAAAAATCATTGTATATTCTCTAGAGGTATATTTTTAACTCCATATAGCTACTTTTAAAGTTTCTCTTGTAAGCACAAAACACTTCAGATGAATAGGTTATAAAAGATATAAAACGCAAAACCAGGACTGAAAAGTACTTGTGAAATAGTTTTTAAAACTCAAATACACATACATGTGGAATCTAGAGAAATGGTAGCGATGAACCTATTTCCAGCAGGAACAGAGACAGAGACATGGAGAATGGATATGTGGACCGGGGGTGGGGCGTGGGGGTTGAGGAGGAGAACGGGAGGGTGAGACAAACTGGGAGACTGGGACTGACACGTATGCAGTACCATGTGTAAAACAGACTGCTAACGGGAAGCTGCTATGGAGCACAGGAAGCTCAGCTCGGTGTTCTGTGATGACCAAGAGGGGTGCGGGGGAGGTCCAAGAGGGAAGGGATACGTGTATGCATACAGCTGACTCACCTCACTGTACAGCAGAAACTAATACAACACAGCAATTATATTCCAATTTTAAAAAATCAATAAAAGTTTTAAAAATTCAAAGACATTAAAAAAAATTTCCCTGAGATGGTAAAACAACACTCTATAGATATTCTCACACCTTCAACTCTCCACAGATATATTTCTCTAGTATATATTTAAATATTAAAATTCTAAAATTAAGATGTCCAATGTAAAGATACTGTTTGGAATACAGTTTGATCCTTGTTACCTACTCAGGTTCCCTCAGATTAAAGGAAAATATCCAAATGTCCACATTTTAACTTTATTATTTGTTACAGTAATTATCTCTATGATATACATGCAATTCACACATATAAATATAGATAAATCAATCAGAGCTTGTTATAAAATCTCTTATGACATTTTAATACTTACTCTTAACAAATCATCTATTCTTCCTTCCTTCTTCTCTAAGTCAGAATTCTTACTGTTTTCTAGTGCAGATATTTTTTCTATTGTGAGGTCAGACTACAGAGATAAGCAGAAAACAAACTTAGGATTAGTCTCAAAATATTATATGTCATCACATTTTTCTCATTACTTTTCTGAAAAAAAAGCACTTGATGATACAACTAGCCTGGAATCCCATGGCTCAAGAAATTAAATCTGCCTTTCTCATCTCACTCTTTAAGCATTACGTTCTGCTATACTTGCCTTTCAAAAATATATTAACTCTGGGATAAAATATATGAATTCTCAAAATACTGTGCACTGAACAGTACAGAAACATACTCTCTAGAAATGAAACTAACTTTGAATAGAAAAGGTCATCAGAGGAGAAAGGACACGAATCTCTAAAGAACAAACATGCCACCTAGTGGAGACAGAGCGACCAGAAGAGAGATGAATGCTCAACTACCTAAGTCTGTTCAACTATTCAAAAGTTTAATTCAAATAACTTTAAAATCTGCTCCTGAGGGCTGTTTAGCTCTTGTGACTTAAGAAATTCTCCCAGATTGCCAGGCATCCTGTCTTGAAGGCAACAAGGTACCAACAGCTTCAAGAAAACAAGGTATAATATTTGGTGAGCTCAACACAACAAAATGGAGGATATATCCATTATCCTTTTTGCAGATATTATCTTTGAATATTCACAACAATTCCCTAAATTAAGGAGTTTCTGAAGACTGTTTAAGGAAGAATTATGTTGGTGTGCGACATGTTAAAGAAGTTTAAAACAACAAGGGTTTACTGTGTATCGCACGGAACTGTATTCAATAGTTTGTAACAAACCATAATGGAAAAAGAATCAGAAAAAAAAAGAATATAGACACATACATATATATATATATGTATGTATAACCAATCACTTTGCTATCCATGTGAAATTAACACAATATTCTAAATTAACTATATTTCAATAAAAAAGACTCACTGATGCCTATCGTAAGTACTGTCCCAACGAGTGTTTTGTAGACACTAAGATGATGATAATCAACCACATTTTATAGATAATTTGAACTGAAGAAAACTGAGGCCCCAAAAGATAAAGCATAAGTTGCAGAGCTAGAATCTGAATCGGGGTCTTGAGTTCTCCAAAACAAGTGCTTTTTCCTTAACACCATGCTGCAATATAATCATTTCTGTCTATAATCTTTCTGAATACATCAGAAAGGCAAAGAAACACCTCAAAAAGTTAAAAGCACCTTCCAAAAGACTTGAAATATTCATAATGCAAGTTCTGAATACAACACACACAAATAAATGAGATGAAGTCAGAGAAATAAAGGGAGAGAGAAGACCCAGATTTACCATTTACTCCGAAGCAGTTCTTTCCCTCCCTGTTTATCAACCACTGACCTACCTGGGTCTGTCTGTGTTGGATGGAGATCTGTTTTTGGGAGCTGCAGGAATGCTCTGTGTTGCCAGATCCCGTAGATGAGGGACTGTTTTGCTGAGCCTGGAATAAAGGTGTACCACCAATCACAAGAAGTTTTCCATCTTTCTCCACAAGCATTTATATGCATACAAACGATTACATAAAACAAATACTTCCTGATGAAAGCCAAGACTCAGGGGCATGGAGCCAAGATGACATGGTGGCTTAGACCATTTTACTGTAAATAGTTTAAAACACCAAATGCTAACAAATGAATTTTTAAAATATGGAAATTAAGTATGTAAATGTCCTTTTCACTGTACAACTGATGCTTGAACAACACATGGGTTAAGGGCGCTGACCACCCACCCCCCTCCTCCGACCATGCAGTCAAAAATCCACAGGTAACTTTACAGGTGGCCCTCTGGATCCACAGTTCTGAATCTGCTGATTAAACCAGTCTCAAATGGTGTAACACACAGTATGGATCTATTAAAAAAATTCCACATCAAAGTGGACCTGAGCAGTCAGTCCAAACCCACACATCTTAAGAGTCAACTGTAAATGTGCTTTCGCAGGACAGGTTGGTGAGACACTCAAGCAGAGGGGACGCTCATGACTCCAGGCAGAAAGGACTGGGAACTTCTATTCAGAAGGGCATCCAAGACGCTCAAACTTCACCCAGGAACACACAGTGGGCCAAAAATTCTGGCTGATTTACAATATTGTCACTTGTTTACTGTGACATTTTATACATAAATGATGGGGCATTCTAAGGCACTTTCAAATTTAGAAGGTTTAGGACTTAATATAATTCAACTGTTCAAGAATATGCAATCACTATACAGATGGTCACCAACTTAACAACAGTTCCACTTAACAAGTTTTCAACTCTATGATGGTGCAAAAGCAATACGTTCAGTAGAAATGGTACTTCAAATTTTGAATTTTCACCTTTTCCTGGGTTAGTAACATGTGACACAGTACTTTCTCAAGATGCCAGGCAGCAGCAGCAGGCCACAGCTCCCAGTCAGCCACAGAGTCATGAAGGTAAACAACCAGATACACTGACAGCCATACACCCAGACAACCATGTTGATTTTTACTTTCAGTATTCAATAAATTACATGAGATTCACCACTGTATTATAAAATAGACTTTTTGTTAGGTGATTGCAGGCTAATGTACACGTTCCGAGCACATTTAAGATAAGCAAGGTTGAGCTATGATATATTCGGTAGGTGAGGTATATTAAATATGTTTTGATTTATGAATGATATTTTCAACTCATGACATGTTATATCAGGACCTAATCCCATCATAAGTCAAGGAAGACCTTTACTCCAATGAGTCCTTTTAAAAACAAAATTGCACTCAACACAGTACAACCTATCATAGACATAATTACAAAATACTGGATATTCTGGGGATTATGGGCTAATGGAAATATCATCTCATCAAAGAATATAGTGTTTCGAATAGTGTAAGTTTCATCTGGTACTTCCTAATTATTCCATTAATTATTTCTTTATTCATTAACATTAAAACAATGTATAACCACCACGTACTGAGCAATTACTGCCATGATCACAAGTAGGCCTTCAGTTCAGCTCAATTCAGTCACACACTCATGTCCAACTCTTTGTGACCTCATGAACTGCAGCATGCCAGGCCTCCCTGTCCCTTCACCAACTCCTGGACTCCACCCAGACTCAGGTCCATTGAGTCGGTGATGCCATCCAACCATCTCATCCTCTGCTGTCCCCTTCTCCTCCTGCCTTCAATCTTTCCCAACATCAGGGTCTTTTCAAATGAGTCAACTCTTTGCATCAGGTGGCCAAAGATTTGGAGTTTCAGCTTCAGCATCAGTCCTTCCAATGAACACCCAGGACTGATCTCCTTTAGGATGGACTGTCTGGATCTCCTTGCAGTCCAAGGGACTCTCAAGAGTCTTCTCCAACACCACAGTTCAAAACCATCAATTCTTCAGCGTTCAGCTTTCTTCACAGTCCAACTCTCACAACCATCCATGACTACTGGAAAAACCATAGCCTTGACTAGATGGACCTTTGTTGGTAAAGTAATACCTCTGTTTTTTAATATGCTGTCTAGGTTGGTCATAACTTTCCTTCCAAGGAGTAAGCATCTTTTAATTTCATGGCTCTAGTCACCATCTGCAGTGATTTTGGAGCCCCAAAAAATAGAGTCAGCCATTGTTTCCCCATCTGTTTGCCATGAAATGATGGGACCAGATGCCATGATCTTAGTTTTCTGAATGTTGAGCTGTAAGCCAGCTTTCTTACTCTCCTTTCACTTTCATCAAGAGGCTCTTTAGTTCTTCTTCACTTTTTGCCGTAAGAGTGGTATCATCTGCATATCTGAGGCTATTGATATTTCTCCCGGCAATCTTGATTCTAGCTTGTGTTTTTTCCAGCCCAGCATTTCTCATGATGTACTCTGCATATAAGTTAAATAAGCAGGGTGACAATATACAGCCTTGAC